TTTGTTTGTGGATCACTATAAAGTAATCCATCTTTACCTCTCAAAGGTGAGACTCCTGATGTTTCAGTCTTTTTCCCTTTTATGTATTGCCAAAATGATTTTGGTTTTTCCTCCAGTTGTGGACTTATCATTTCTTCCATATATTTACTTTTGGCTTTCATAATTTCTCTTTGAGCTGTTGCTTTAAGCTTTTTGTATTTATCTTTGTGGATTTGTTTCCCAGTTTTTTTAGCTTTATTAAATGCTCGTCTTTGTTTTTTACATAAACTATCAATTTCTTTATTTGCCCAGGGATTTGTATATTTAGATTTTGTCATTTTACTTGGTATATTATCATTGATGATTTTTATTATTCTATAATTTTATATTTTAATATTTATAAATTGTAACTTGGATGGAGAGTTGTCTCATTGGCACTTATACTACATCTTCCTATATCTATAGGTGGTTCAGGAATACAACAAAAGTTCCTCTGTCATATTTTAACAAAAACATGCCCGAGAACAGAGAAAATGAAAGAACAATGGTATATATTTCTTATTTATTTGTAAATAAGCAACTAGTTTTAGAAATAAGCAACAAATACAGCACTAATATTGTAAAACTTTTTTAAAAAGCAGCGACTACAATTAGTCAAATATAACTGTGGCACAGAAGACTGGTTAGCACAATACACACCCTTTACCTTGACTTTTTTCATATAATCTTTGGTTTTATTTACTTATTTTCCTTTCTATATCAGACTTATTACATATAAATAATCATCTTGCTAACACATTGTAATATACATCTTGATGTAACAATCTTTTTAAGGATAATATCAGAAACAAGAGGATCCTAAGAGGCAGAATATCTCACCTGTCATAAATTGAGATAATAGACAAAACCTGAAAATTAGTCAGGATCTGTCATTTAAGGGCAATAACTTCTGTAAGGATTTGAACATGCACATGTATTGGCATTTTTGTATATCTTATATGATTATAAGTTTTTTGCACAAACTAAAAAGCATTAAAAAAATCATCATTTGAGGACAAAACTATAAGGAGTCATGCAATGGTTTTGGTAGATCCTGTATTGCTAATATTTTTACTGTTTACAGTTTCTATCTATCTATTATAATTTTAAAGATAATAGGCAACCAACTAAACTAGAGGCTCTAAAGAGCCTGTGTCGCTCACCTTGGTCTATGTGCATATTAAACAAAGGACACAGATGGATTCATGACAAAATTGTGTTTTGGTGATTGTGATGTGTTTGTAGATCTTACTTTACTGAACATTCTTGCTCCTTACTATTATCTCTATCTATAATGAACTTGGCCCAGTAGTTACAGTGGAAAATATTTTGTAAAAATTTACAAAAATTTACAAAATTTATGAAAATTATAAAAAATTGACTATAAAGGGCAATAACTCCTTAAGGGGTCAATTGACAATTTTGGTCATGTTGACTTATTTGTAGATCTTACTTTGCTGTACATTATTGCTGTTTACAGTTTATCTCTATCTATAATAATATTCAAGATAATAACCAAAAGCTGCAAAATTTTCTTAAAATTACCAATTCAGGGGCAGCAACCCAACAACGTGTTGCCTGATTGGTCTGAAAACTTCAGGGCAGATAGATCTTGACCTAATGAACAATTTTATCCTGTCAGATTTGCTCTAAATGCTTTGGTTTCAGAGATATGAACCAAAAACTGCATTTTACTTTTGTATTATTTTTTAGCCATGTCGGCCATCTTGGTTCGCGGGCAGGGTCATCGGACACATTTTTAAAACTAGATACTCTAATGATGATTGTGGACAAGTTTGGTTAAATTTGTCTTAGTAGTTTCAGAGGAGAAGATTTTTGTAAAAGATTACAAAAATTTACGAAAAATGGTTAAAAGTTGACTTTAAAGGGCAATAACTCCTTAAGGGGTCAACTGACCATTTTGGTCAAGTGGACTTATTTGTAGATCTTACTTTGCTGAACATTATTGCTGTTTACAGTTTATCTCTATCTATAATAATATTCAAGATAATAAACAAAAACAACAAAATTTCCTTAAAATTACCTTTTCAGGGGCAGCAACCTAACAATGGGTTATCCGATTCATCTGAAAATTTCAGGGCAGATAGATCTTGACCTGATTAACAATTTTATCCCACGTCAGATTTGCTGTAAATGCTTTGGTTTTAGAGTTAAAAGCCAAAATCTACATTTTTACCCTATGTTCTATTTTTAGCCATGGTGGCCATCTTGGTTGGTTGGCGGAATGGCCGGACAAATTTTTTAAACTAGATACCCTAATAATGATTGTGGCCAAGTTTGGTCAAATTTGGCCCAGTAGTTTCAGAGGAGAAGATTTTTTAAAAGTTTACGGACGCCTGACGCCGATCCGGACGCCAAGTGATGAGAAAAGCTCACTTGGCCCTTTGGGCCAGGTGAGCTAAAAATTAGTTAAAATAAATGGAGAATGTGTCCACGGGATACAGATGATGCCCCAGCTTGCATATCAAGTTATAAAGGGACATAACTGAAGAACACCAAAGTGACACTACCCAAATTTGTACTTGATCTGAGTTTTGTGGTAATAAGCATTGTGTATAAGTTTCATAACATTTGGTTGAGGCAAACTTAAGTCAAAGAAAAGAAACGAGCATAACTCTAGAACAGTATAAGTGATGCCACCAAAATTCAAATGTGATCTGTGTTTTGTGGTAATAAGCATTGTGTATAAGTTTTATAACATTTGGTTGAGGCAAACTTAAGTTAGAGAACGGAAATGAAAAATTCAGCAATTTTTCCATTTGTAAAGGGGCATAACTCTATAACGGTATAAGTGACGCCACCAAAATTCCATAGCGGTCTGTGTTTTGTGATAATAAGCATTGTGTATAAGTTTCATAACATTTGGTAGAGGCAAACTAAAGTTAGAGAACGGAAACCAACTTTGGGACGTACCTACAGACGGATGGACGTACAGACAGACAAGGGTAAATCTTAATGCCCCCTCCGCTACGGTGGGGGCATAAAAACATGTTCATTTAAGTGTTATAACTTCCATATTTAAGGAGTTAATTGTTGGGGAAAGAGAAAGGAGGTAGATCTTTACATTTTCACTGTCAGATTTTCTCTATCTATTATGGTTTTCATTATATTAGACAATAAATCATTTACCCTGATGTTCTATTTTTAACCATAACGACCATGTCAGTTGATTACCAGAAACCAAAAACACTATCTTTTTACTAAATACCCTATTAAAGAGTCAATCTGTGAAAGTTAAGTTGAAAGAGGCCAAGTGGATTTTAGAGGTGAAGATTTTTGTCCAACGATGGATGATGACAAAAACAGTGATGGACAGCAAGTGATAGCAATAGTGAAAAAATGTCACAAGGCATAACTTAATATTCACACTCCCTGAAAACCAAAAATAATAGTAAAACTATTTAAGTTGAGATTCCGATTGAAATTTGACTATTCAAGTCAGAGCATTATGACCCCCTGAGACATCTTTGCTATGTCCCTGATATTGTAAATTGTCTTAAGACAGTTCAAATACTTTATCCATGAGGTTCCCTTATTTTTTCAATAAAAATTCCTTTCTGTAATAAAAAATCTGTTTCAAACTTTCTTTTTTAGAAAATTAGTAATCCACAAAAAATATAAAAGGATTTAAAAATGTGTTTTGAACATAAAAAGCATATGCAAATATCAAGACATTTCTGTCGGTAAAATGATAGAATCTGTGTGTTCATACACAAGAAAGCACACCCCTCATGACTCAGCAGTTTTTCTTGGTTAAAAGGAATTCTATAATGTCAAAATCGTCAAAAACTAATCAGGTAAATAATCAACAAATACTCTCAACAAAAACAAAAAAACAAAAAACATAACAATTTACACCAAAAAAGAATGTTAAACCACAATTATCATAAATCTTCATACAAAAGTATGTCAACTTGCAAATTACACAAATTTTCAAATATAAAAATCAGCAATTCACAATGCAACCAAGTAAAGAAAAGCTGTGTACAAGTACAAGTACATATACAATTTTCAAATTTCTGAGGCAAAGGGTTGTAATTTCGCCAAAAACATTAATGAAACATTTTAATCTGTTACTACCCAACATACTACATATCTAATGGTTAGGCATTAATATACAAACAAAATTACCAAAACTGTCCAGGAATTTCCAGTCAAAGAACAATGATTCCACCAAAATTATGTCACCATGTCATATATGTACTAAACATAAACAAAAGTATAACAAATATCTGCAAGATAAACAAACAAGTGTGGCAAATTTAATGTATGTGGAAAGAGAAAAGGAGTGATAAGGATATGGCTATATGTACTTACCACTTTATGACAAAGGCATATTCAAATTATAGAAAAAAATGGTGAATTCCATAAGTTTTTTTCAGCTGGTAGCTATGTTTCATTATTTTTACAATAGTTCTCCACAATCAGTCCTCATTAAAACATAAGTTGAATTTTTTTTTTATGTTCTAAACTACACGCACTTGTCTCTGAAAAAAATACCTATACACCTCAATGTAACACGTTATATTAATGTATACAGGTATTTTTTTTTAGAGAAAAGGTCCTATGTTCTAAACTTCAAATGTTAAAAGAACAACTGAAGTAATAGAGGGATGACACCCAATCCTGCCAACTGAAAAGGCCATGAAAATTTGGCAACTATAAGTATCACAAATACTGGTTTTTAAATATAATTATTTTGCATAAAATTAATCACAAAAACTATTAACAATGAAACTGGAATCAGCAGTCAGACAAAAAAAAAATAAAAAAGCTATTATTGACTGTCATAGTGATAGCTTGATTTAAAACAAAAGTCCATGGTCCTAATTTCAATGGTGCAAAAAACCAAAAAAGTTCTAGTAACCTGAAGGTTCAAGGGTATAAATTTTCATTGGACTTAAATCTTAGTACACTAAAGTAGCAACAATCTGGATTTTATCAAAAGGTTCTAGTTTATATATGGCTATTTTACTGCATTTCATGAGATTGCTTTCCCTGTACATTAAACTCATAACCCCATACTTTTTACTTAAGATAGATTTTCAGTTACTTTGTACTTCATTTGAACCAGTTATGGTTCAACTGCCTTTCTAATTCTCAGATTAGAAAAATATTATCATATTTTTATTGTTAGAGGAACAACTTCTAAATGTTTACATGTGACTAGAATTCAAGGTATCTTTGGACAATCAATACTTTGGACTTACAGACCTTATCATGATTCTGTGTATCTCACTGCTTTAATGAGGCACAAAAAGAGATGACCAAAGTCTAGATAAAATAATTCATTTGGGGTTAACATAACAGATAAAACAAATACTGTATAGGCTAATAACCTTCAGTATAAAGAGTGCACACACTGAAATGTCTCACCTGCTTTACTGACCACTGATTTTATGTTGAAAGTCTTAAAGATAGAGATTTTACTAAAAGCATCATACAAACTTAACAATTTTAAAGACAATAAGGTCCACGTCAGATAAATCCTGTAAGACAAACATGTACACCTCAGAGGCGGATTTAGAGGGTTTTTCAGGGGGCCTGGGCCCCCCTTTAGTTGGAAAAATTTGGTTGATTTATGATTATATAGGGAATCACTGAAGCATGACTGGAGCGGGCCCCCTCTTAGGCAGTCAGTGGGCCCCCTTATGAAAATTCCATACACCACATATAGTTGACCTACTGCTTATAGTATCTTATAGTATCTGAGAAACGGACCTAATCATGTAACTTTAACCTTGATCACTGATCCATGAAAATAGGTCAAGGTCGGGTGAACCCTGTCTGACATTGCAAGGAACCAATATACCAAAAATAGTTATCCTATTACTCATAATAAGTGAGAAATTCACATGACAAAAAACTGTAAAAAAAAATTTCAAGCAGTCACTGAACCATGAAAATGAGGTCAAGGACAATGGAAATATGACAGACTGAAACTTTATAACATAAGGTATTTGCATACAAGGTATGAAGCATCCAGGTCTTCTACCTTCTGAAATATAAAGCTTGATACAAATAGTTTACATCACTGCTGCCGCTGGATAGTAATACCTATGTCTTGCATACTGCGACTTTCGTAACAGGCAAGACAAAAATGAAATAAAAAATGCATATATATTTATACATGTATACACACACAAGTTCTTTCCAAACAAAGATACACATTTGAAAAATCAACATTTAACAATTTGACATGATCGTGATGATACTGTACAAATGTATCCCTAAAAAAATGTTACCATAATTGAATTTTTTTTAAATAAATCCCCACTGTTTGTAGAAAAAAGTATTACAAATGAACTGATATTAATGCAGGCAAGAAACCAATCAGTCTCCAAAATTAATAAACGCTCAACATACTGTCTACTACAAACATGTATTGCTTGGATTATTTCTAAACAAACCATTCTGGGTGAAAATTTGTTACATAATATGTAATTTGCCACCTACGAAAAAAAAAACCAACCAAAGCCAATAAAATTTGTTGAATTATATGAAAAAGCCAATTGAGTGTTATACATGTATACATATGAGGGTCTATAGTGGTGGGTAGGGATGGTCTTCATTTCTGTATTCTTTTAAAATTTTAAGGCCTTTTTACCCTTTTCTTTTATTGTTTGCCATTGAACTCTTTTTTTATATATATTTTAGCACCCCAATATTTTCTATTCTTTGAATTTTTTATTAGGAAAATTTATAACTTTTGTACTTGGAAGTAGGCCTATAACAAATTCAAAATGACATGTTCAAAAGGTAGCTATGCTGATTTTAAGAAGCCAAAACGTTGTAGAAAACTAATCATTTTTTGATTAAAACATGAACAGATACATGTAAACGTACTTTATCATGAAGCCAAAATGTTGTACAAAACCAACTGTTTAAGGATTAAAACATGAACAGTTACAATCAACATGACAACTTACTTTAAGAATGATTTTATTTTCCAATTCCTAACAAGCAAAACTAACACATTTTCATCTCTGACATTGTTCAAAATACAACTGACCTTGCAATTCTAATTTTGACATCTATCCCTTGCACCCTATGTTCAATTGGAATCAGAATGTGGCATTGTTTACAAAGCGAAAGAAGATGGTCATATTAGAATGTGTGATTTTTTTTTAATCTAGCCAGTCATTTATTTTTTGCATTTGCAAAATCACGCATATTTTAACCCCTATTTTTTGCCTTTCTAAACTCTAAACCCCAACAAAATTCATTTTACCTGGTACATTGGATTAAAATGAAAATGTCTGAAATATTCATTATTGTACATATATATATAAATATATGAAAAAAAATCTTACATCTTAATATATTCCTTGTATTCATAAAAAGCTATCAATCAAACAAACGTAAATTGAACATAACAATATAAATTTTCTTATGCTATGGTTATCTGTACCAATCTACAATAAAGTGTCCATTTTAGGATTTATTGCTTGCAAAAGTATGTCCATTATTATGCATAATCAAAAATAGAATTATCACATTGTTAAAATCATATACACAAACATATTCTAATAAAATATGCATTTAAAATTTAGACAGCCTTGTTAACATAATTATGATAATTCGACCCATCTGGTAGGAATGGAAACTGTGACCCATATTCTCTCATGATGGTGGAATATGCCACTGCCTGAGGAATAAAATTTGGATTTCCTAATGAAGTGTTCATGTGTTGCATAAATGGGTCATTGGGGTCAATATTATGAGGTAAAGGTGCTGGACGTTCCATTATGTTTGAGTACACTTGACCATCGTGGCTGGTGTTGTACCTGATACCTTGCTGTCCATCTTCTGTTGTCATATGCTGGGTTTGTTCAGACTGAGAATGAGGTGTGTGTTGTTGTTGCCTCATGACCTGTTGTCTGTGAGGGGATGGAGCAGACGTCGGTGGTGAAGTCTGTATACTGTAACAATGTTCTGCTGATGACATTGAATTGTGGTCAGTTCTTCGGTTATCAATATTCATTAACAAAGATGGCACAAACTTCAAACCTTCAGTGATTTCATCAGCTAAGGAAGTAGGAGTAATAGATTGGAACATTTCTGGATTGTTTGCCATTTCTCTTGGCATGGTTTGATAGGGTTTCCTTCGAGGTTTTGACACTTTCTCTTTCTTCTCAGCCAAAATCTTTGGATTTTGCAAATCTGTTTTAGAAACAGGAGCTTTGGTTGGTTGATCCAAAGGTTGAACTCTCCTCACAGGAGGTAAAATAGTATCTGCTCCATGTACAGTTTTTAGATGCCTACGGAGATTGTACATACGTTTAAATGCTGTGCCACACCAACACTTGTGATCTTTTTCTGTGGAATGTACCTTGTAATGACGTTTCAGCGCATTCTTTGCTTTAAATGTTAAAGAACATACACTACATGCATACTCTCTGATATCACTGTGTTTATATGCATGATGCATCTCAAGAGTTTTCTTGGCATGAAAAGCAGACCCACATAATTCACATATAAAGTTTCTCTCTGATTCAAAGTGGAGTGAGAGGTGGCGTTTGAGATTATTTGCCTCACGACACTGATAGCCACAATGTTGACAAGTATGTGGCTTTTCACCAGTATGGTATCTCATATGTCTCTGTAAAGCATGTTTTCTGTAAAAAACACAGGTATACTTGCATCAAATGTATAATTCTATGAATAAATTAATCTCTAATATATTCAGCTAAAAATGATTTCATGTTGTAAATGCAATTCTTGCTGCATTTTTTTCTTGTACGATTTTTAAATCACTTCTATCATGATTTTTTTTTCTTCCGATTTAATGACATCACTGGTATATGAGGAAAACGATATTACAGTGGAACAAAAGCCCATTAGTGATGAACATTTTTTTCATGAGATATTCAAATGATTTTCTATTGTGATGAGCCTTAGTGCATTGTCGACAGCTTTCAGGAAGCAGATAAATTAACTTAGGTAGGGTTATGTTGTTGGGCTGCTGTCACTGACCTTAATCCAACCTCTCCTCCTATTCATATGACTGTTATGTGTGTTATCCAGTTCTTCCTACAATTTTCTAATTGGATGAACATTTCAAAGTGTTTTGTATTCCCATTTGTAAATCTGCCATGTTTTCATTGAATATTTTTAAAGGTGTTTGTGTGGATCATAATTTATTATTCTATCTCATGTTGGAACACTGATAGCATCACTGTAATATTTCTTGTGATAAAAAAAGTTTCTATTTAGTTTTTTTTTACATTTCTAGGAAAATATTAAAGATGTTGAAATAATCAAAATAAAACTTTTTCCTTTGTAAACTAAGGAAGGAATTTCTTGATTTCTGTAATCATAATGAACTTTAATTTGACTTCATCCATATTTTGAATGTTAGCCATGGCATAATTTGAATCGAACAGTTTTCAAAAATATTACAGAAAATCAACTTTAAATATCTGTAAATTATGTGTATTTCATGAAAACTGTAGAAAGAACAAACCTGAAATAAGCTTTCCCACAGTCTGAGCAGAGAAATTTTCTTTCTTTCAGTTTTTCTCCAGCCTTTAGAGTATGTGAGTATGTCTGTTTGTGTTTAGCTAGTGATTTCATAGTTCTGAAAAACTGTCCACATGGTTTACATTCCACTGGCCTTTCCCCTGGAATGAAAAGAAAACTATCTTGGTCATATAGTTATATGATATAAAAAGTGCTCTTAAAATTGTTTGCCTAATCCCATATAGAAACATTACCATAATTTGTAAGACAAAAAGATATATACAATTATTTTCTCTTATTAAATTCTTCTGCTTTTTGCAAACTTGTGTAATTTTGCATGTTCAAATGGAATACAATTAGTGTTTAAATTTTCCTGCTAATTATCATGTTTCCAGAATTAATAACAAAATTTTTCATAGTAAATTGACATGAACACAACTGAACACTGATGAACAGCTAGTGATTTATATAAGTTTTATTCATGTTAATCGTGTGAAGACTTTCGTTTCATTTTCAAAGTCTTATAACATATACATTGTATATATACCTTAATCTCAACAAGCATTCTGCGAGTATTGCATAGCAATACATACATTATGTCGTCACTTACCAGCTAAAAATTCATTGTACTGAAAATTGATCTATAACTTGGTCCGAGTACACAGTTATTTCATAGTGCATTTCTTTTAGACAATAAATGAAAATTAAAAAAATCCCACCTGCGCTTTCTCAATAATATTTTTACAGTGTGTTGTACTACTTTTGGGACAAATTATATCAAAATTATATAAAACTTCATCGGCTCTAATTCAAAATATGGACAATTTTATGTTAAGGGGGTCTTCAAATCTTTTGACAGCTTCCGAAGTGCTAATTTTTAACATTTTTCAGCTGAACCAAATCACTACTTAACTTTAAAATTCATGACCCAAATTTTTTTACAGTGTCATTTCACCCCCCTACTTGCTATTTGAGTCATAAAACATGGAGAAATAAATTTGGAAGGGGTATAAAAAAAATTGGCAAGTAACACACTGTCCACACTAGGGACTTTATTCGTGGACAACGAAAATCAAAGGACGATAACTGTGTACTCGGACCTAATAGGGTAGAAAAAATTGACCAATCTTAATGAAACTTGGTATGACCAAAGCTTAATAAATTATAACACTGCTTACAAAGTTTCATGGCAATAGAATATATATTATAGACAAAATGACTAATTCTATATTCAACTTTGTGTGTTAAATTAAGACGTTAAAATTGAAAAATTTCAACTATCAACATTTGGGGCTTAAAAAATTAAAATATTGCAAAAAAATACTTTTGAAATGCCTTTATATATAATATATTATGTATTAAAAGCAATTGAGTACTCATTTGATTTATCAGACTTATCATAATTATTAAAAAGTCAAAATTATATGAGCCTGTGCCTAAAAATGGAGGTTTTCCAATGAAGGGGGGCCTTACATGAAGATGTAATATTTTCCAGCAATTTTAAATTTGTTAAGCTTTTTGGTTATAAATAATCCTTTCATATGTATTTAATGTACTTTAAATGGAAAGAAAACTCACAAATAACATATCATATTAGTTTAAAAGGGTCTTAGGCCAAGTACATGAAGTAAGACTGAAAATAATTTAGGGTCAATTTAGGCCGTAGCACATATTTACATTTAAAAATGCATATTGAAGTTATAGAAAATAAAATTTGTGTCTTTTCTATCATTTCTATACTCAGGTGACATGATACAATAAATCTGAGCACAAAAAGACTCTTGCATTCAACTTTTTTTGCAGACAGTATGGTCTGATACAAAGATTTTTCACTTTTTAGTGAAAACATGCATGCAATTTTAGTCTCAACAGGCTTATATTTGAACCACTTGCTATCCTACAGAAGAAAAGAAAGATATTATGTGAAATGAAACAGGTACAGAAGACATTGTAAAGTGCTTTTTACACAAATTTAGTGAGGTCTTTATTATGGACTTAAACTTTTATGTTCCAAGCTCCTCACATTTAACTTGATCCAAACAGGGCGCTAGATGAGGGTCATATATACAACACATTTTGCACATATTGTCTGAAATAATCTTCTTTTCTGTAGATTCAGAGTTCACAAATGAGTAATACAACTGGATTGAAGCATAGAAACACAAATATTGACACATAAAAACCTGTCAGATAGAAAGTCAGAATGCCACTTATGCATCAAAATTGAATAAGCTATGAAATGCTTATTTTGACCATAATATGCCCAAATTGGTCATTTTTGCAGAAATTCTATCAAATAAAAGTTTAAATCCTTTAGTTTTATGCTATTTGACAAATTGACACCATCAAATCATTCAGGGAAGTTGCCAAAGTACAGATTCTATATTTCCTGATTTCACCTCTTAGGTCCGAGTACACAGTTATTTCGTAGTGCATTTCTTTTAGACAATAAATGAAAATTAAAAAAATCCCACCTGCGCTTTCTCAATAATATTTTTACAGTGTTTTGTACTACTTTTGGGACAAATTATATCAAAATTATAGAAAACTTCATCGGCTCTAACTCAAAATATGGACAATTTTATGTTAAGGGGGTCTTCAAATCTTTTGACAGCTTCCGAAGTGCTAATTTTTAACATTTTTCAGCTGAACCAAATCACTACTTAACTTTAAAATTCATGACCCAAATTTTTTTACAGTGTCATTTCACCCCCTTACTTGCTATTTGAGTCATAAAACATGGAGAAATAAATTTGGAATGGGTATAAAAAAAATTGGCAAGTAACACACTGTCCACACTAGGGACTTTATTCGTGGACAACGAAAATCAAAGGACGATAACTGTGTACTCGGACCTAACTTATCATGGTGTAAACTATATAACAAATATGATATCAGATCAATATCTTCAAGCATGACAAAAAAAAAGTGTGGAAAATTGATTAGTCCGAGGACCATAACTCTGCAAAAAAAAAAATCTTCTGAACCAAACAAAATTCAAACTTGATCTGTAACTGTTCATGGTAGAACTATGCAAAATATCAAGTCAATATCTTCAAGCATGATGAAAAAAATATGGAAAACTGATTACTTTGGTGAACTTTCTAAGTCCAAGGACCATTACTCTGCACAAAATCATTAAACCAGGACAAAATTGGAACTTGATCTGTAACTTGTCATGGTAAAACTCTCTACCATATATCAAATCAATATCTTCAAGCACGAAGAAGAAAAGTGTGGAAAACTGATTTGCCGGACTGATGGACAGACGGACGAACAGAAGGACGGAGTGCAAATCTAAAAGTCCCCTTCAACTTCGTTAGTAGGGGACTAATAAATAAAGGAAAGAGTATGTATCTAAATGTTAACTGCAATCAAAAACTAAGTCCTTTTATCAGTTAAATAAAGAAAAATGAAAAAAAATACTTTCAAAATGTTTCTATGGATACTGTCTTTTGATCATAAAAACTCTGTCCAAGTTTCATAAAAAAACATTGAAGGTTTTATAGTTATTGATGTCTAAAAATCTTTTAGCTTTGACCATGTTGACTGTATCCTAATGTTAATTGTGAAAAAAAAAACTAAGTCCATTTATCAATAAAATACAGGAAATAAAATATTTTCAAAATTCAACTCTGTCTGGAGTCTTTTGACCATAAAAAAAACGTCAGTTGAGGTTTCAGAAAATTCCATAAAGATTTGAAAGTTACTGAGGTCTAAAAAAAAATCAGACTAAACCTAACTATTGATGACGCTGACAACAGAAAGTTAAGGATCGCTATTTGTAGCTTCAGTGACAAAATGTTGCAGGCTCTATAAAAATACTACACTATTTGACTTTTACCTGTATGAATTCTCTGATGTACAATTAAAGCACTTGGTCGATCAAATGTTTTTTCACACTCGTCACATGGATACTTCTGTTTATTCTGATTGACTTCATTTACACTCATGCCATGTTCTGACCTACAGTGACGAGAAAGTTCAGTGCGTGAAGGAAAACTTGTTTCACAAATACTACATTCCCGCTGAAAATGGCCCAGTAAGTGTTGATCATACTGACGTGCATGATAAAAACCAGCATCACATTTCAGACACTTGTAATGAACATCTTTCTCATGGATTTTCATGTGTTCTTGAAGAGCTTCATCATCGTTACAAAATTCACCACACTTAAGACATACTTTCTTTCCATCAGCATGGTTTTTCAGATGATGATGAAGCCATAGCTTGGTTGTAAATGCCTTGTCGCAAAAGGAACACTTATAGTTTCTTGCCATCATTTCACTTGCATGCTTTTCTTTTTTATGTGCCCTTAATTCTTTGACACAAAGAAATCGCTTGTTCTGCTTTGGACAATAAATACATTTTTTATAGTCTCTCGGTTGGCAAAGATGGTCTTTAAATTCGTCAGCCATTGCATATTCATTCATACAAATCCTACAAGAAAGAGGACTATGCCCATGTTTGGTCATATGTTCAAAATAGGAAATTGAATGAGTGAATGTTTCATTGTCGACTTTGCATTTAAACAAGATCCTGGGTCGTCCAAGCTTTTGCTTTGTGTATTTCCTAGACTTTATTTTTCTCTTCATCTTTATAGGTTTATCACCATTATTCTCTTCATCAGATAAGGCATTTGCCATCTCAACTGCCTCTTTTGCAAGTCTTAGTATCACAGGGTCATCTTCATTTATATTGACAACACCTATCGATGGTGATATTCCAACTTTCATGTTAGCCTTTTCGGATCGTGAATCTTCAATTTTTGTGTTATTTTTTGGAGATGTTTTCTCTGATGCTGTAGTTCTTCTTGGAAAGTTCTGTTTCCTCTTTCTTTTTGATGGTGTAGAAAGAGGAGAATTAGCGAATTCATAATCATCAGTATCCTCTCCTGCATCTTCCCAGGCCATGGAAGATGGAGTCTCATCATCATTGACCTCATTATTGAACTCTGGTAATGAGGAGGATTTTCTTTTCCTCAATCGTTTCGATGGCCATACTTTATTTTTGTCTTCCACTGTACTAACAGCATCAGAAACAAGTTCATCAAGACAGTTTCTGATAAATAATTCATTACTTATTTCATCTTTATTTTCTTTGTTGTTTTTCTTGTTTGTAGTTGATTTTTTCCTTGTTGTTTTTAGGGTTGCTACTTTGTCCTGTTTATAAGCAGCTTCGTGAGATTTGTTGACAGCTTCTGTACACTTTGCTTTAAATGTAAGGATAGTTTTGAATGCCTTTTCTTTTTCTTCTGTGGTGAGTCTGAGGAAAATCTTCTCAGCTTCTTTTAGCTAAAGTACACAAAAAATGCTTTGTCAGTTAATACTTCTAAAATAATATGTGCGATATTAGATATTTAACTATCAAATTGCAATTAATCAATAAAATAAAGGTTGCAGCTGCTAAAAATCTGGATAATTACTGAGTACAAACAAATTTGTGCATCTGGAAAAGTGTTAAGGCATGGGAGTAACTAATTAATTTTAAATGCATTTGATGTGACAGAAAATTAAACTTTCCTTGATTTTGAGATTTCCTTTTTTATCGTTCCCAGATAAATGCCAAGAAATGTTATTATGTTATGTAAAAAGCTTTATAATATTATATGCAGATGACACAGTTATATTATCTGAGTCAGAAAAGAATCTGCAACATGCATTGACAGTTTTTGAGCAATATTGTAATGAGTGGAAACTCAGTTAATAATAAGTAAAACTAAAATTGTAATTTTTAGTAAAAAGAAATACAAGGTTAAATCAGAATTTAAAATTTATGGTAAAAATATAGATGTCTTGGACTCATATACTTATTTCGGTATTGTATTTAATTATATAATGACTCTTTTTGTTCAGCTAGAAAAAAATTATTGGAACAGTCCAATTAAGCATTGTATGCACTATATAGAAAGATAAGAAATATTACAATTCCCGTAGATATATACAGCTAAAGTTATTTGATTGTCTTATTTTACCTATAATGATTTACTCAAGTGAAGTATGGGGATTTGAAAATAAACAGGGACTGGAACGGATACACTTGCAGTTTTGTAAAAAATATCCTGCACGTGAGAAAAAGTATTCCAAATTTTATGGTTTACAGAGAACTTGGTCGTTATCCCATTGATATTACTATTAAACTACGCATGGTTATGTTTTGGAATGATATTCTCACAAATCAGAATAAATTATCTAATACTTTATATAGACTTATGTAACAACTTCACCAGAGTAAACCCACACATTTTAAATGAGTTATGTACATCAAATCCATTCTTGATGAATGTGGTCTTACTTTTATATGGAATGATCAGATACCTATGAAAAGAGAACTGTTGAAATCTCTTGTCAAACAAAAACTTGTTGATCGGTTTATACAACAATGGTTTTCTGCAATTAATAATTCTTCGAGAGGAGAATTCTATGGTAAATTAAAAACTACATTTGAATTAGAACCCTATCTACTACGATTGGGAAATACTGATAGATTCAAATCTTAAATTCCCAATTGAAATGGGAAGATGGAAAAATATTTTAAAAGAAAATAGGATATGTCATCTATGTAATCAAAATATTGGTGACGAATATCATTATATGTGTGTTTATAGATATAAGAAGTTGTGGTATGAGTGCCAATGAGACAACTCTCCATCCAAGTCACAATTTGTAAAAGTAAACCATTATAGGTCCAAGTACGGCCTTCAACATGGACCGAAAACAGCAAGCTATAAAGGGCCCCAAAAATGACTAGTGTAAAACCATTCAAACAGGAAAACCAACGGTCTAATCCTAGTGTGTCACTTCTTTGACAAAATATTGTACCTAATTATTACTTACAATATCCTTCAAGGCAGAAATTAATCGGTTTACTTTCATTGTGCAACATAAAGGTGTATAGGAAAGTTTGTACTTTTCTTAGAAAGATTACTTAATTGTTGTAGATACAATTTATATTCATATATATATATATATATGTTTAGGTACTCACAATCACTGAATAAATAGGAAGATAATTGTACAAATATAATCCTTTAAACTTAATAGATAATATATAATGTATATATCTCAATGTCATGAAAATCACGTGCTATTATACACTACTCTGCTGTCGATTTGTATGTATACTTTATCATGTTTTGAGACCTCTAGTACACGTTTGTGTCTGAGGAAATAAAATAAAATATTTTGTCTTGTCCCACTAAATAAATTAAGTTGGGAAAAATGTTTAAGATGTTGTAAAGAATGAATGTAAATCATTTTCTTAGTAAGGGATTATTATATTAGTTTTAGTGATGTGAGAGCTTTCTTATAATTTTGGAAATTATAATAAAATATAATGACACAACAGTATGATGAAATGGTAGGAATTGTGTAAGTTTCCGAATTGTTAGTATGAATACATGTAAATTGTGTAATATTTTAGTGAGGAATTATCTTTTTTGTTTATTTACAGTTAAAATCAATAAATTCAAAATCTGAGTAACAACTTAATTTAATTCCACAGTCAATATTTAATACATCAAATACTACGTAATTAACTAAAATTTAAATGGGTCAATAAAATGCATTTTATATGAAATTTAAAAGTTTTACCAACCGTGGATACAGTAATCTAAGCTTCAGTATTTATAACTAAATGATTTTTCTTTTTTACATTGCCTTGATATTATTTATTTTTTAATTGTAATTTTGAAGTTACCAGTATATATTTTCACATATAATAACATTGAAAGTACCAATATTACTGCACAAGTTAATTTCAAACTTATTTTGATTATTTTGTTTCAAAATTCATCTTTTAGTCAGTTTCAATCATAATTTGACCTTTTAAGCAGATTAATGTGTTACAGGGCAGTTGTAACTAGAGATGGATTGAGGAGGGTCTTTTAATTTATGGAGCTTTATATCTGTGGTTAATTATTAACATAGACTTTTTACATGATCTACTAACGTTGCTAGGTTTGGGGGTCTCATTGGTCAGACAACTTTTGCTAAATTCTAAAGAACAATACCTAAATAAGATTGAAACCATGTAAACTGTGAAAAAAGGTGGACCATATCAAATGAAATTCAGGTGTTTGTTTATTTTACCATCTTCTGCTTGTTTAAAAAAAAAGGGAATCTCAAAATCCAAGTGATTGTTTTATATATTTTCTTAAAAATAAATGCATTTTAAATATAAAAATTACACTGCATAATAAGTTTGTATTATCTATGTTGAAATATTGCTATTGTTCACAGAATCTGTCAGAATTTCAATTATCATGGGATGTTTTTAAAAACTCCAAAGATTGGCATAATTAAGGTATAACAACTAGGAACTCCTCAATTACAGAATCATTAAAATTTTAGATATTGAAGAAGGCTTTATGGGTCCTTTGAAGTTTCTGTTCCTTTAATATTGTTCTTTAGTATTTGTTTAATTGTTAATTGCCGGGATACTAATATATTAGTCATAGTTTATTGTTATAATCTAAGGTTGCTCCTGGTAGTCCCATGAATTTAGAATCTGTGGTGGATCCAGAATATTTTATAAGGGGGGTCCACTGACTGCCATAAGAGGAGGGCCCGCTACAGTCATGCTTCAGTGATTCCCTATATAATCAACCAAATTTTTCACACAAAAAGGGGGGGGGGCTGGATCCGCCTATGAGATTAATTATATTCTATTCATAACATATTTAGTTCCTGTCATGCCTTAATACTTTATAAAGAGCACAGGCTGTGTTCAGAGTGAAAATAGTGACAAAAACACGGCCATATTTGTCATTTCCTTCTGACATGTCATCACGAACCCAGCGGAGCCTCTCATATTTCAAAAGTGTATTATCCCTCGAGACAGAGAGAAGCCGTTCTCAGTGCAAACCTCACATTCGCGGTATTCGACAGTTATTTACCAGAATTGCAGCATACATCATTTCCAAAATAAAAAAAGAATTGTTCCGACGAAGCTTTTTTTTTTAAAATGATAATAAGGCTCTAAAACATTTCATTTAAGTGGGTCAGACGATTTCGCAGACATGTTGAAAATAATGGAGTTAATTTGCCGAATGCGATTGAAAACGCGTTATTTTGTGTAAATATGATACCTGGGCCGTAAAACTCATGTATTCGCCACTGTCCATTTTTGCATTCGTTAAGCAGTCACTAAGGAATAGAAAAGAAAACCACTATTTTTATCCAGTCGCCATTTTGTACCCTCTTCTCGAGCCTCTGTTTTGTACCGAAGGAGCGATTGATAAAAATAAAATGAGGTTCTTGCGGGGATGACTTAAGCTTTGGTATAAAAAGACAGTTTATTATAATTTTATTTGTCTTTTAATTAGCGCGTGCCGCTGAGCACATGACTTTCGACTCGAAACACATTGCCAATCCAAATGACGAATCCTTCTCCAGTAAAGGAGTACCTCAAATTAAGGGTAATCGCCACCTGGCATAAAACATTTGTAAAAGTTTGTTCTACAAAATTAATACGGTATACTAATGTTAAATAAAACAAAGCTTTACAATGTAAAATGAGGGGTGTCACTGTGGGGGGTCTCATCACGAATTCCCACGTGATTTTTTTTTCATTCCGGCATCACGTAATCCGAATTTCCCGACGAAATAACTATAGCTCATGATTCCCGAATTATTCCCGAAGATTCGAAGGTCTTTCCGACCCTCAATGTAAAATATTAAATTCTATTCTATGCGCGACATATAACCAACCGAAAGAAAATGAGGAGCAAGTGCGAGAACTCAGTAATTTTAATTAGATTGGTCAGTCAAGCTTCTATAAGTACGACCATTCAACTTTGAGGGGGTGCATGGGGATTTTTTTTGTACCACACAACCATAAAATTCTGATTTATTTTAAGATTTTTGTAAGAACTTAGCATTAAATTAAATGGCAAAAAAACTCCGTTCAATTTAAAGTAAAATATCGTTCCAAAAGTAGAGTGGCATTAATTACCCTCGCTCACTTTCATTTTTTGTCTCTACGCATATCGGTCATTATATTGTAGTCGCTTCATTTTGCACTTTCCTCTTTAGTAGATTTATCCCATTCCATATTTCCATACTCTAAAATTGGTCGTATAAAGTCAAAATGAAGTTATTTTTTTTAGGCCAGAAATTTTCTGTCAGTATTATATTTTAACATCCGCAGTATTTGAGTCTAAAACAGCCTATGGTCCGTGTAACTTTGCGTCCATTCGTTTTCGTTTGAAATATCAAAAAAAAAAGAAAAAAAAAGAATGTGTTTTAATTTTTCGTTTGTCATTTCAGAAAACACTACCGTTTTTCTTTTTTCGTTTTTGTTTCGCCTGCGAAGTTTCGTCGCAATACGCGAAACACTAAAGGATTACAATCCGACGACGGCGGCGGCGAAAACTATTTGTTTTCAGCCTTATATTTCAGAGGGTAGAAGACCTTGTTGCTTCATACCTACTATACAGATGCCTTATGCTACGAAGTTTCCGTCCGGCATATGCCTGTTGTCCTTTACCTCATTTTCATTGTTCAGCGACTGCTTGAAAAAAAAGATGAGTTTTTTTTGTTATGTGAATTTTCTCTCTTATTATAAGTAATAGGATATGTATATTTGGTATATGGGTTTCTTGCAAGGTCTGCATGTCCGTCAGACCGAATTCAATTGACCTTAATTGACCTCATTTCATGGATCAGCAATCAAGGTTAAAGTTACGGGAGTAGGTCCTTTTCTCAGATTCTGTAAGTAGTAGGTCAACTATATTTGATGTATGGAATGATTGTAAGGTGTACATGTCAGTCTAGCACGTTTCATCTGACCTTGGCCTCATTTTCACGGTTCATTGGTCAATGTTAAGTTTTTGTTTTTGGTCTGTTTTTCTTATACCATTGTTGATTGTAAGGTGTACATGTCTGTCTGACAAGTGTCATTTGTCCTTGACCTCATTTTCATCGTTCATTGGTCAATGTTATGTTTCAGTAGTAAGGTCCTCTTCTAACACACTATAAACAATATGTCAACTATGTTTGGTGTATAGAATGATTGTAAGGTGTACATGTCTGTCTGACAGGGTTTATCTGACTTTCATCAATATTTCATGGTTGTTCTGTTTCTTATATATTATAAGCAATACACTGTAGGTCAACAATTTTTGGCGTATGGAATGATTGTGAGGTGATGATGTCTGTCTGGCTTGGTTATTCTCACCATGACCTCAATTTCATGGAACATTGATAATTTTAAGTTTATGTAATACTTGTAGTAAAACTTTATCTTCCGGACTATCAATATAAAATCAATAATGGAAAGTAATCAAAGTATGCGAGACATATTTCAGCGTGTGTACTCTTATTTGTTTTAACATTCGTTTTTTCGTTTTTTTGTGTGTGTTGAAATAAAAAACGAAAATGGAAAAAAAACACTTTGGTGTTTTGCTTTTGATGTTTGAAAACGGAAAACGAATGGACGCAAATATACACGGACCGTACACCAGCATTAATACATAAGTACATCCGACTTCATGACCAGATGCATCGGCTTCTAGATATATACTGAGCTTATGATTATTCTGTAAGTAATAAAAGGCATCTGATGCATACATGTTGTTTGTGGTTGGTGGTAAGTGAATAAATCATTCCACTGTTCTTTTAGCCCCATTGACTAACCCATATGATATACTGACATTATGGATGAGCATAACCCACCCCAACAGCAGCAGTGGATGATGTACGAAGTCCACTCGTCTGTGTTGGCTTGTCAGGAAAACTGACTATATGTGTACCAGTTGTTGTTTCTTTCTAAGAGTCCTATGATGTGACTGTATATTTCGGTTTGGAAAGAGTTTGAAGCTTGTAAAAATTGTGATTGTCAACAGCTTTGTTTGGTTATAAATGTTCTCTTTACCTCAACAAAGAAATGTCATATTCTGTTTGAAAAAAGTTTAGTAGCTGTCTCATGATTTCTGTCAGTTCAAAAGTTTTGAAATGTTTCTGCCACAAAATACAAAAAATGTATATCTCCAGCCTTGCCATTTCATCAGATGGGTAATCATATAAAGCTTTCTGTGCAGGTGATTGAAGTTGAAAAAATCTCCAAAATCAAAAATGCTAAGGCCTCTAAATATCTGAGTGTTGCTAGTATTATTTTTGTAAACGTCTATGAATGAAGTGACGCATGTAAACACTTATCATGGAAATTTCATCTATTATGATGATTTTAGATATGCAGTTTAGATCTATTGTAATTGAGTTTATCTTGTGTTTGGCTTGTATTCGGGGATTCCTTTTATAGTAGGTAACAAGAAAGCTATATGCAGTGTCATTCTAAAGATTTTCTGGATTTGCCTTCATCATGCATGCACAAACCTAAACACTTGGAAGCCAAGACATTGGCGTAGTCACTGGAAAATAAATTGTAAGCAGGGGGTTTGGGGGCGGCAGCCCCAATCCACCCCCTCATCCAAGCTGAACAGCACATGCTAATAATGCTACACTGGTGCTACGCCGCTGCAAGGATGATTAAATATGCTCCAATGTAATATATATGACAAAAAAGGACAGAAACAGAATAGCAAATTTCATGTAAGGTCAATTATGCGTAAGTTATGCGGGAGTTGGAACTTTAGTTACTCAATTTTATGAACAGGGATTGTTTACTAAGTATTTGTTATAAGCCATGACAATACCGAAGCACTGACTACTGAGCTGATGGTAAAAAATGAAAAACGAACAAAAGACAAACAGTGCTAGTATACAAAACTCAAAAAACTAAAGACTGAGCAGCACGAACCCCACCAAAACCGGGGGTGATATCAGGTGCTCCGGAAAGGTGAGCATATCTTGCTTCACATGCTGTAGCACCTGTTGTGTTCCTCATGTAAGTACAAACATAGCGGTAAGTCTAATTCGGGAGGTCACATTCGAAGAAAAGAGGACGAGTTTATGGTTACGACAACTGGAACATAATCGTCGCAATTTGTGAAACAGATATTCCATAACGGTCAACCAACTTGTGATGGCGTCCTTGTGGTTAGTCTAATTCGATAGGTCACATTTGCGGAAGAGGACGGGATTATGGTTACAATTTGAACATATCCGTCGACATCTGTGAAACAGATATTCAATAACGGTCAACTAACTCTTGATGGCGTCTGTAAAATTTTCGAAGAGATGATTTCAACTTCACCACTCGGAACTCTTATAACGGGTTAAATAGCTTCATACAGGAACTTCTTAGGAAGAAAGAAAAGAAGTTAGCAGTATACTTTAACCTCACTTTCCGCTATATAGATGATATTCTCTTACTAACTAATTCAAAATTTGGTGACTATGTTGAACGCATCTATCCCATCGAACTTGAGATAAAGGATACAATAGATACAGTTAAGTCGGCCTCATATCTTGACTTACATTTAGAAATTGACAATGATGGTCGGGTGAAAACAAAACTTTACGACAAAAGAGATGAGTTCAGCTTCCCAATTGAGAACTTCCCATTTCTATGTTGTTACATTCCAGCAGCACCTGCATACGGAGTATATTATATCTCCCAGTTGACAGGGGCCTGGATCCGCCCCTGGTTGATACGATATTCCCGGGGTTGTATTTCCTATCATGATTTCCTTGATAGTGGGTTGCTGCTCACAAAGAAGCTATTAAACCAAGACTTCCAAGTGGTGAAGTTGAAATCGTCCCTTCGTAAATTTTACGGACGCCATCACGAGTTGGTTGACCGTTATGGAATATCCGTTTCACAGATGACAACGGATATGTTCCAATTGTCGTAACTACAATCCCGTCCCCTTTTCCCCGATTGTGACCTACCGAATTAGACTTATCACCGGGTATGTACACGACGGGTGCTACATGGGGAGCAGGATATGCTTACCCTTCCGGAGCACCTGGGATCACCCCCAGTTTTTGGTGGGGTTCGTGTTGCTCATTCTTTAGTTTTCTATGTTGTGTTTTGTGTACTGTTGTTTGTTTGTCTTTTTCTTTATAGCCATGGCGTTGTCAGTTTATTTTCGACTTGTGAGTTTGAATGTCCCTTTGGTATCCTTCGCCTCTCTTTTCCTTGTAAGCAGCAATCCTCTATCAAGGAAATCATGATAGTAACTGCAAGCTCTGGAATATCGCATCAACTGGGAGATATATACTCCATATAAAGGCGCTGCTGGAATGTTTGTACATAAAAATGTAAATTTTATAATTTGGAAGCCGAAATAATGTCTTTTGTCGTAGTTTTGTTCTC